AAAAAAAAAAAAAAAAAAAAAAGTTCTGGTTTCTATCTTGCCAGTTCTCACTGCTGGCACCTCAGACTTTCTCTCCATGTCCCTACATCAACAGTGAGGATAACCTGGGGACTTGCCTCTGGGGTGTACACAGCCGTATACCAGAGGCTGGGAGAGGACAGAAAGCAGGCTCTACCTGGGGATTTTTCTCCTGTATCATACTGGTGAAGGCCACAACCTGCTGAGCCCTGCCCTCTGCCTGCCCCAGTTGACAACTCCTTTTTTCTGAGCAGAACCTCTGGCTCCACTCCCTCAGAGCCAGCTCTCCCCTCCTGCCACCCATATTCCAATGATAGCCAGAGCTGCTTTTAGCCCAATCATTGCCTTTGTGAGAGCTCAGAAAAGGTGGCCACTCTGGAAAAGCATATGACCTGGACCACAGGCTTGATTTCAGGCTCCAATCACACTCCCTTGGCCAGGCACCCTTGTGCAGTGCACATCCTGTACAACTGTACATGGCATTCCTGCTGGCAGCACTCAGGAGCATTTAAGAAAAGTGCCAAGAGATTTGCAAACACTGGAGTCTGTAAAGAAACAGCTAAGTGCAATCAATTGTCTAAGCTTTGCTTTATAACCGAACAACATGACTAATAAAGTGTCCCAAACTTTTCATTTATTTTCCTTTACTTTCACCTTCAGCCAACTCACACAATGTTAAGTGTCCCAAATTCTTATTGTTTATTAATAATTATTTGTTGAGGGCTGACTGTGTGCCGGACTCTGAAGGTACAGACATAACTACGACCTGAATTTTGTCCCTGAGGGGTCTGAAGTCTAGGAGGCAGGCAGCCGCATAGACCCGGAGCTCTAGGCCTGGGCTGTCAGAACACTGCACTGGGTTCAAGGGCAGAAGGCCCTTCTGGGACTGGGATCCAGGATGAGACAGCGGCCTTGAGCAGGGAGCAACCAGTACTCTTCTCAGCCGGGCCTTTCTGGCAGGGCTGGCCTTTGCTCTGACTTTAACCCCGCTAGCAGAGAAGCTGTTTTCATCACTTCTAACCGCACCCTCCCTGGAAGTCCCTCAACTAATGCATTTCTTTGGAGGCAGGCTGCTGCCCCATTTGGGAGCGGACAGTGCTCTCCTTGCACAACCTCTCAAGTACAGTCGCGTCGGAGGAAAAGCACATTTAACCTGTGCGGGATTTGCAGAACGAGCAAGTTTTGCCGATGCACGCTCCTGGAACAGAATCACCTTTTGTACGGTATTAATGTAAAAGTTTCATTTAAAAGACGCCAGCTGTGGTCCTACCCAGGTTTATTCATATGGGACCTTCACTGGGTCAACTTAATACTTAACTACTGCTTATTATCCCATCAGTCTTCAGGGACAACCCATGATCTAATTGCCCAGCATTTATGTTGCTTGGTAACCACAAATAGAGAATAATAGTCCTTAAAGGGGCAGTGTGGAATTTCATGCTCCTGCAGTGAAGTACACTTCATTTCCCAGAGCACCCTGTGTTTTTTAATTCAGTGAATAAAAATGTGTAATGAATAATTAATTATGTGCTTGGAGGCACAATAGCTGTCTACTTTTGAATATTCATCAGCGGCATTATTAATTCACTAGAAATCCCAGGGAGGAATGGGATAGGCTTTTAGCCTAGCTGGAGGACTTAAAGATAATGCTTTGCAACACGCACAAACTTTTTTAAAGCCGACTTTTCTTTGGGAGTCGCTTTCTGGGTAATTTTCTTCTTTTAAGAACATTTTGCCACGGTCCGGATTCCCGCGGAGCTGGTGGGACTCAGAGACCACCAGTGACCATGAACAAGACCCACTCTGGAACTCCCGCCTGGAAAGTCCCATTAATAACCAGGCCCACTCGCCTCCGCGGCCCCGGGGTGCTAATGGCAGCAAGAGGCCTGGCCGCAGAGGCTGGAGCCCGCGTTCGCTCCCGGAGAAGAAAGCAGCGCGCGCACTCTGCCCTCACCTAGCGGGGACCCTCTCCCGTCGCGGAGATGGGGACCTCGGCCCTCCCTCTGCAGCCTGCCGCGTATCCTGCATGGCTCCTGAGTAGCCTCCGAGGCCAGTGGTGTCAGACTCAGGGCTGGGATCCAGGCCTCTAGGCCTCCCACCGACTTCTAAACACAGCTGCCAAGGCACCTCCCTGCCAAGGGTCCTGCATCGTCTCCTCTGCAGTTTTCTGAACTCTTCCTCACCCCACTTTCTCATTTAGCCCCAGAAAATCTTTCTGGCCTCTGGATTGCGAGCTGTCCACCTAACGCCCTCTCCTTCCTCCTCCTCTAATAACCCTGCAGCAAGGGGCAACATGGCGCCCTGCTGGACGATTACACTTCCCACCTTACCTTGCGAGGGAGCTCGTCATGTGACTGAATTCTAGCCAATGAGAGGCATGCGGGAGTTGCTGGGCGGAGCTTCTGTGGAGCCTTTCTGAAAGCGGTTGGAGGAGTCCTGCTTGCTCTCAGCCTTTCTTCTTTCCTCCCGTCTGGGATGCAGAAGAGATGGTTGAAGTTCCAGTAGTCATGGTGGATCATGAGGAAACTGAGAAAGGAAATAAAGTGCTTGGAGGTTGGGTAAGAAAGAAGGAGCCCGGATCCCTGCTGACTATAGAATTCTCCCTCACAGCCTGGAATTGCCTCCTTCCAGCCTTCTTTCACATGGAGAAGTGAACCTCTAACTTATTTAATCTGGATCATTCTGGGCTTTCTGTTGTGTGCAGTGGAACCCAATCTTCAGTACTACTCTTTTCAGTACTAATTTTCTCTCACTGGTGATGCTGGTTATTTGTCTGCTCAGTAGAATACCCAGGGAACTTGGTGAAGATCGAGTTCTCCTTCCCAGAGTTCTGTCATTTTCCCTGCATTCTTTTTAGATTTTATAGCATTTACTCTTTCCTACAGATGTGAAAATTCTTTGAAAAGTTAACGTCTTGAATAATAAAAGATGGCCTGAGCCACCCACGCAAAAGTAGGAGCTTTAAGCAAAGTTTTGTAAGGAGGACTGCAGAACTTCTCTGTGTGTCTCTTTGGGACCTCAGAATTTTAACTGGAAAAGGCAGGAGGGGACTGCTTGGTTTAAGGATCTCTCCCTAACTGTGGTTTGGAAAAGTTTTTTAATTTGAGAGTTTAAATAGTCAATAAAAGGATTATTCCAACCTGGTTGATCCATGCTCTGAACTCCCATGGTTCATCATCTCTAAGATACTAAAGTGCACTAATATTTTATAGATTAAGGAAGGAGAAATTCTGCCAGCTATAATTGTAAGATGCATCCTGATTCCAGAAATGTTAAATGTGAAGAAATTGCTTTTTAGATCAATAAAGTATGGTACATATAGTTAACCATAAGATTAACTTAAGCGTCATTACCCACAACCAGCCACAGATATACTACATAGAATTCTGCTGTTAACTTTCTGTTCTGCTCTTGCTAAGAAATAGGTGAGAACTTTCTGTATTCCCAAGCAGATTTTGTTCCACAATAAGAATACCAGGAAGGGCACCACTTTCTGGAAATAGATCCTTATCTATTTTGGAAAACATATCTGTCTCTAGGTTGCTCAAAGTTTACTTTCAGTACTAATTATCTCTTACTGGTGATGCTGGTGGTTTGCCTGCTCAGTAGAATACCCAGTGATGATTATGTAGATTTTCTGTCACCTGATACTCTCTCCCTCTGCTCTTGAGCTCTGTGTACTCTGTGTGTGTTGGGCAGGTTGCACTTGCATTTTGTTGATAAGAGGGACTTTCTTGTCTCTTTGTATCAGATGCCATCGATGGCCTGAGCCCACTGGATCACTTGCATCTAGGGTGGACTGTTTCTAGCCCACTGACAGCTTCCCACCTCAAGTACCTGAGATTCTCTTTCTCTTCCTTAGTGCTTTCCCCATTTTCTCAGAAGTGGCTCAACCAATGGTGGATAAATTCTCCAGCCTAACCCTTCTCTGATGGACAATTCTGAGGCCTGCCCACATGGCTTCTCGGAGGGTCCCCAGCAGCATGCAGGTCCAGATTCTCCCAAGGGTAACTCACTCCTTAGCACATGATTGTTGGGTTTCCTCCTTTCCCTGTCTGATTTTCCCTGCTTCTTCACTTTTACTTCCTAGGATTCTTTCCCAAGTAAGCTACCTGCACCAAAGTTGTTTCACCAGGATCTGCTTTGGAGGGAACTCTTTATCAGAAAAAGTAACTCTCTTACTGGCCTCCAGGCTGAAAATGTTTTCTTCCAGTAGGCAGGCAAGTTGATACCATATAAAAAATTTATTGTGGCTGCAGCTTAGGGGTTATGATCTATTGTTTATGTGATAGTAATGGCTCCAGATGAGTCCACCCCCAGGTCTCCATGCCCGCACGTAGTCCCCTTCCGCCTTTACTCTTGTCTAGGTTGTATGACTTTGGCCAATGAAACAACAGCAAATATGATGTAAGTGGAGACAATAAGTGCTTGCACATTTGGCTTTGCCTTCTTAGGGCATTTCTGCCAACATACAAAGAAGTCTGGTCTAGCCTAGTGGAGGACGAGACAACATCCCAACCAAGTGAGGAGAACTGAGGCATCCGGACCAGCAGCCAACACTGTCAGATGTGAATGGGGTTGCATTCACGTGGCTCAAAGATACTAGACTCAAACTTGTAGACATCTAATTATTTTAAACAGCCCAAATGAGCAAATTTTTAGCTGATTAGAGTGAGCATTATTTGCATACCCTACAGGTAAGATAAACCTTGTAGCCATAAAGATCCCTAAATTTCAGCTGTCAGACCCAGACTGCCCTCTGGGCTGCTGAGTAACACCACCTAGACATGTAAGACTCCTCTCCAATCTCCCTCTCCCCCAGGAGTTCCCTGGCCCTCCTTCTTCCCTTTGTTCTCCCTTACCCTTCTGGGTGGTGGCCCCTGGACAGCGTCATGCTGTGATCAACTTTCTTGCATGCAAACCTGTCAAAGTGGCACCCAAATAAAGTCCATTGTGTACTACTGCCACCTCATGGTTATATCTTATCTCCTGATCAGCCACAGAATCCCTCAAATCCACTACAGTGGGGAAAGTCAGAAAAGACCAAACCCACTAGGGCCGATGCCCTTGAACATGTGGGCTGCCGAGAGGCTGCAAAAGCAGGGTACGATGATGGAGTAGAGAGACCCAGAGCAAGGAGGCCAAAAGAAGGGGGCAAGGAGGAGAGAAAAGCCTACTGGGGCTGGAGAGGGAAAAGCTCCTAGGAATGGCAGCGTGTCAGAAGAAAGAAGACAGTTGGTTTTACTAAGAGTTGCTACAGATTATGTGAATCGTGTTCAGAATTCCTGTTTGGATTTCCCCGCTTTTAATGGGATATTGTTTTGAGACCGAAACATTTGGGTTCCAGTCTCAAAACAATCAATATCTGATACACAATGAATATCCTTCATATAGATAATATACATATACATATAATATACATATACGTATAATATACATATACATATATTTTAAAAAGCCCTCCAGTCCAGCAGTAAAAAGTTCCTTAGATTTTTCTATTTCTCCAAGTTCCTGACTGAGACATACTGCATCTGCTTTTAACATGTGAAAACAGCAGCATCCGTGCAGTCATAACTTAAGCCATCATCATTTTCCTCAGCAAAGTCACACTTTTATGAAAGTTGGACAGGAAGTTTAAGTGTATGCATTTGGATCAGTGAAGACTTTCTTGCACTTTGTTCTTAGTTGAGTTGAGACTGGGAGTCATATTTACATGTATCCTTTACTCCTGGGAGCATAACGCTGTGCTGATAATAACTGTGGGAAAGCAGGCAAACCCTGCATTCTAGATTTATCCCCACTACCCCTATGTTTCTTCAAGTGAGGAGTGGAGGAATCATGAATAATAAATATGGAGATAAGAGAATGAAACTGGGAAATCAATTTACTGCAAAATATTTGCATATTTTATTAAAAGAAACTGTGTATGAGACCCATAACAGGGCGTGATGATTTATATTTTGATTTGATGCATCTGCACCGTGCCTCTGGGAGAAGTGACGGCGCTCAGGCATCCATGCAGGACTTTTCTTTTCTATTGATCTCAAAGACTTGTGGTGTATTAGGGTTCAGAGGGATTGAATGTTGATTCTGTTCCCCTCATTTTACAGAAAAGGAAGTGGAGGTCTGGAGATATTATGTAGGTTGGTGGCAGACGCAAGATTTACCTGGAAGAAATTCCATTGCCCTCAAAATGTAAGAAAATGTGATAAAAGGATAAAGTAACAGAAGTGTGCATAGCCACAGCCTTTTACATCTTTGCTAAAAGTTAGGAAGATAAGAATCCTTGTCTCCTATTCTTATAAAAACACACATAAACACAGACAAATGCATATTTGGATATATTTGACATCTCTTTTGACACAGATGGGAAAAATCGTTCACTGAATATATGCGAGACATTCCCACCCCAACCCTTTCCCTACTCTAAGAACAAGTTATGGCCAACAGATCCTCTTTCAGTGACTTGGTGGGAAAGTTGTGGACTTGCCTTTCCCCTCTCCACACCCTCTCTGTGATGTAAAAAATTTCGAAAAGAGTGATGTCCCCATTGGCTACTGCTGATTATTTGACAATATGTGAAGCTTAGGAATTGCTACCCACTCAAAACCAGAAGGCCTGTGATGATTAGCATCTTCCTTTTAGGTTGTCTGCAGTTCCTGTCATTTGCAAGACCATAGTTCCATTTGGCAGCTTCCACTCTGGATTGACCTTCCCAGGATCCACTCCTCCCTTTCAGATGCTGCCCTGCGGATTTGTGATGCTGCATTCCTTATGGTCCCCCATGCTGCCCAGCAAGCTCCCAAGATTCGTGGCCAATACCTTCTCATTTCCTATAGAGGGTCTTCCAGACTCTCCACTGTCCTTACCCTCCCTTTCTCTCAGAGTGTGACTGTGCCTCCTACTGGCTGGGGTAAACAGGAGCTATTTGGCTGCACATGCAGAGTGTGGCTATTAGACTGCCTGCTTTTAGCATGATGCCTGGCGTAGAGCAGCTGCTTGGTGTGTGTTTGCTGAGTGATTGAATTAATGAGGCAGCAGCCTTGGAGGTACAGGTCCAGTGGAGCCAGGGTTCAGCCACAATGAACACAGGCATCTGTGGATTGGGGGAAATGAAATAATCCATTTGGGAGTACCTTGTCTTAGACTGGAAAGACTGGGATCTAGAGTGGAAAGACAGCTGTCCACATGACTTTCAGGAAATAATCCATCCCCCATCAATTCATTCATTCATTCATTATCCCATAAACCATCATCCAGCACTTGCCTCAATTTGGACATCATGGTAGGCAATGAGAATGCAGACACAGTGAGAAACATGCACTGCCTATAGAATGTTCACAGTCTTGTAGGAGACGTGAATAACTAAGCTAACATGGGATGGATAGTCGTGAGGCACCGAGTCAGGGGCAGTTCCAAGCAGGAGATTTCATTCAGCTAGGGCAGATGGTCAAGGGTGACAGGGGCATTGGAGCTGGGGCTTGGCAGATGAGTGGGAATGTGGCAAGTAAAGAGAGATGGGAAGAGCGTGGGCCTCTTGTGGGCAGGAGGAAGCTGGGAGGGAAGCAGTTTTGAAGGTCTGAAGGATTAGGGGCCTTTGTGAATTTCTACCTACCGTGGAAAAGCTGGGGGTGTGGGGAATATCCTTTAGCCAGGCCATGCAGCTCCCATGAGGCTGCTGGGGAATCGAGTCCAGAGCGTGTCGTCATTTCAGATGGAAAAGGTGGCCGGCGGGAGGGGCACTGATGAGATTCCTGGTGTGTATTTGTTATTAGCCTTTGGAACTTGTGTGTCTGCCTTGGGTTTGCAGGACTCCTGGGCTCACTTGTCTTTGCAAACACAGAGTTTGCCTTTGTGGTGTAGATGAGGAAATTGGGTCCAGAGAGGGCAAGACAGGTCCAAAGTCGCATACAGCCATGTGCAGCCAAAATGTTAGGTGGCATTACTCACAGAGGCATTCAGTGATGAAATGAAAGTAGTGCTAGAAAGAGAATGAAGGTCGGAGGGAAGAGAACCACAGGAGCCCACTTGTTAGAAATTGGGTCCCCACAGAGCGTTTAAAGATTGGAGTGAATATCAGATGCTTCCTCTGCTTCTTGGGCCTACTTCTTCTTCTAATACTAATGTACCCTAGCTGCCTTCTGGAGTATTACCTCTTCTCCTTTGTATGCATTCTGGAAGGAGCTGCCGTTCAAAGGGCCCTTTACTTCTCTAGATAAATCATGGGCACATGACCCAAGCTCAACCAATGAGATTCTCTCCTGAGATTTTTGACCAGAGACAGGCATGTATTATTTAAAAAGGGTTGATGCTGGTTCATCCAGCGTGGGCCTGCGAGGGACAATGGCCTGCGAGGGACACTATATAGTGTCCTGGCTATCTATAGAACCAGAGCCACCCTTGTCCTGTTCCTATGTATATAGTCTGACTTCCCGTCACTTCTGTGAGGACCTCCATATGTGTGGTCTTTGGATGGGCTGATGGCTCCCACTTAGCCTCAGTTTCTTCATTCGTACGGTGAGATAATAATTCCACCTTGCTGTGCTATTGTGATGATCAAGTGAGCCAATTGGGGTAAATGAATGCATTTTGCAAACTGTAAAGTGCTCCAGGCATAGGAGCGGCTGTTGTTATTGTGAATATTATTAAGGGACAGTTCGTGGTCACAGAAAGCACAGCCTGAGAGTGCTTCAACTGGTCCTAATGAGCGTTCATAGCTGCTTTCTCCAGTGATTCCATTTAAAATGCATCGTGGAGGGGGCTCAGGGGGAATATACTCTGCTGAATCCATAGTTTTGCATTCTGTTCATTAAAAAGAGTTTCTAAAAATAGATCCAGGTCAGAGAAGGTGTCCCAGACAGAAACATTTTTCAGAGCTTGACCCAAATCCCTGTGATCTTGTTTTCCGACAGTCCAGCTGCCTGGGGAGACAGACCTGACCCAGCTCAGCCTTTGTGGCCCTTTTCTGCCTGTAGAGAGATTTGGAGTCCTTTCCTTGCACATTTGTGACATGAAGTCCCACCTGGCACCAAAGCCTTCTAAAGTGCTGGAGCCGAAGTGGGCCCTAGGATCCTGTCCTTTCCTGCTTTGAAATGGCTTTCTTCTTTGACAGCAGGTGGAGTTGTGAGTGCAGATCTGATGAGCTCACCTGTGATGTGCCCCATGACTCTTCAATTTATGCCTTTAGTCCTGGCTGATTTTCTGAATTTCAGACCTGTGCAGGCTGAGCATCTCTCCTAGAAGGTCCATGAACCCACTTGCCTAGGATAAGCTCATTCCACACCAGACCCCATTCCCAGACTTGGCCTCCTGCTCCTCCACCCACCCTGAGTTCAAGCCTGAGGGGTAGCTCCCCCACCATCCCCCTCACATCCAGTCCCTGGTAAGTCCTGCTATATTCATCCTCTAAATAACTCTAGACTCTGCCTACACTCTCCATCTCTCTCCATCTTCCCTTCTGGAAGGTCAGAGTGACAAAACCAAAAGACTTTTTTCCCCCTAGAATAGGAAGGAAGGGAAAAGAAGTAATAGTAAGTGGGAAGGAGAGGGATCTAGAATTTCTAGGGACAGACCCCCTAAAAATCTCTTATTTAATACAGAGAAAAACTGTGGTTCTAAAATGGCAATAGACCAAGCCTGCCACTGACCCTTCGAACATCTCTGTGAGAACAAGGAAAATGTGCACTTTCCTCTGGGCGGAGTAGCCCTGTTCGAAGGTGCATGGCTTGGCAAGCAAAGTGCAGACCAGATTTCAAGCTCTAATCACTGCATTGTGCAGTAAACCACCTGCACAACCACACAGGGCAGACTAAAATGATGCCTGAAATTCTACAACCAGAAGGCTGAAATGGGAACTTAGGACTTCAGATGCATTTGGGGCTTTTTCCAGTGTACTTCTTGAGCTCATGGGGACACCGTTCCCTCCAAAGCTGCAGCAACATTTCAAAGTCACTGAAAATGCAGCCCCTGCCAGTACCCTCTGTCCCAGCGTCTCAGTGGATTGCAACCTTGGTGATTAAGAGCAGTGGGTTTGCTCAGCACTCATGACAATCTGGTGCTCTCGGATCAGAGGTGCTTTTTGCATTGAACCAATGCGGTGACACCTTGTGACAAAAAAGGCAATGCCTCCTCCAGTCCATCACCCATGGAGGCAGAAGCCTGTCCCCTTTATTCTAGAACTGAATTGTAGTTGTCTACATAACTTATAGGGGTGGTGATCACTCATTCGCTCAGAAAGTCTTGCCAAATAAATGCCAAATATATCAGGCAAACTCTGAAGGCCTTCCCTGTACATCCCATATATGTGACCTCATAAAATTATTGCAACAGCGCCATGAAGCAGCATTACATCCTCATCCTCCACATTCACTAGCAGGTGAATTGAGGCCTGAACATGTTTCATTGCGAATAGGGGCCAGAGCAGCATGGGTGTGCACACTTGAGTCCAAAACCCTTGCTCTTCTATCCTGCATCACTCCCTAGCAGTCAGAAGATGTAAGTTCTTGATCCTGTTTGACTTCTAGGTCACTCTGATTTTGGGCAAGTGACTGGATGTCTCTGAACTTCCATTTCTTCATCTAAGGATGTCATCCCAGACAACTCTACAGGTTGTTATGATAAAAAATAACAAAAACACTCAAGACATTAGGTAAGGTACTTTGAAAGGTCATCAGTGATATACAAATATGAGGCATTGCCAATTGATCCCAGCACAGGGGAGCGCTAGCAGGCCAGAGTAGTGGAGCCCTGCAGTATGCTGCCAAGTAAGCTCAAGTGCCTCCAAACGGCCTGATGAAAGTAGAGGAAGGAAATCCACAGCATTATTTCCCTTTGTACTTCTTTAAATCCAATGGTGACCTGGAGGCATCCCAAGTAGTCCTGGGAAATAAAGGAGATTTGGAAATGCACTGAAAGAGATGGTGGAGTCAGGCCATTCAATTAATTTTCTTTGTTTTCCGTTTTTGGTGCTCTGAATGTGATTTATAATGAAAGGAATCAATCTATTATTTATTTAATTTTTTGAGATGGAGTCTCACTCTGCCATCCAGATTGGAGTACAGTGGCACCGTCTTGGCTCACAGCAACCTCTGCCTCCCAGGGTCAAGCAATTCTCCTATCTCTGCCTGCCGAGTAGCTAGGATTACAGGTGCATGCCACCACGCCAGGCTAATTTTTGTATTTTTAGTAGAGACAGGGTTTCACCATTTTGGCCAGGCTGGTCTTGAACTTCAGATGATCCACCTGACTGGGTCTCCCAACGTGCTAGGATTATAGGCACCAGCCACCATGCCTAGCCTGTTTTTTTTTTTTTTTTTTT